AAGGAGAAGCAGACCAGCCTGGAACAGCTAGAGGAACAGAAGATACTTCTTGAAAGAAAGAGTAGCAGCAAAAATCCAAAAATCAAAAATGACAGTCTGATTGACTACTACAAGAACAGGCAAGTTGAGCCATCAAGGTAAGCAATCAAGTCCCTTCAGGACAAACCCACCTCCAATACTGAAACTCAAAGAGAACGCATGAGCAGGCATGTAAGCTTGCTGATGATCACCTTAGTCTGCTGGTGAGTAGAAGAGGAGGAAGGCAGTAGAAGAAATGGGCTGAGTTCAGCCATGTTCCATAGACTCCCGTTGACCTGGAGATGAAAGAGAGAAGAGGAAGGGCTGGTTGATCCAAAGTGTGGTGAGACCTGAGGACTTCTGAGCCCATGACCAAGGACATACCCATGGAGGACTAGAGCTGAGAGCGAAGTGTCCAGCTGATATGAAGTGAGGGGAGACGCAAAAGAACACTCAAACTTGTAGATAATATTCTACCTAACTTAGATGTCTGGATGATCAGAACTCGACTAGAGAAAGATAAAAAAAAAATTTTTTTTTTAAGTTTTTGATAAAGGAAACAAGTGTAAATTGCTACAATTTGATGAACTTGATCTATACTTATGGATACACTAGCTCAAAATTCCAACTGAGAGGGAAGGAGTCACAATCCTATCCCCTCTGTATACAGGGTTGATAGAGATGGGCAACTCAGACATTGGCTACCTAAAATAGGGGGCAGAAGGGAGGTATAAAGGCACAAAGTGACTGGCTTACAACTTTTCAAGAGGGAGTTTAGTTTAAGAGTGTGCGGAGGAGTAAGAATGCCCACTGAATAGTTGTCATCTTGTCTAGATGGGTCTGGTGAAAAGATATGGGGATAAGATTCGTATGATTCAATAGTGAGCAATTGTTATCATGACTAATTGCAACTATCACAATAGTAAGGGTAGAAGTTCTGTAACAAAAAGGTGGGAGTAGTTAATCTTACAGTCCAGGAACAGAGGACCCAAGGGAAAAGAGCCTGAGTGGAATGTAACACTGTGTGCAGAGAAGCAGCGACACCAGAGATGGATGGAGGCAGAGATGATGACATGGAAAGAGAGAGTGTGCAGCTGAGGACTCCAGAAAGGCTGTGTGCTTGTAGCCAGGAGGCAGGCTTTCAGAATGTGCCCTTTGGTTATTTAAATGATTATATATTCCTGAGTGTTTTTGTGTACATCCATCAAAAAAAAAAACAAAAACAAAAAAACCCCAGAGAGAATAGAAGCAAATACTGTTGAGTGAGTGATGATGCATGGAGGAGATTGTAATCATTACAATGAAACAATGGGTGTAAAATTGATGTTCTCTCATGTAAACTATCATGCAATTCACAGTAAAACCTCAAAAAAAAAAAAAAAAAAGATAGTAGAAAAAAAACCCCAGCATAAAAGATGTCTATACACATGGACCTTAGCAGATGGAATACACAGAAATCAAACTGACTACATCTGTGGAAAGAGATGGATATCACAGTCAAAACAAGGCCAGGGGCATACTGTGGAACACACTATCAATGGTTCATATGCAAGTTCAGGCTGAAAGTGAAGAAAATTAAAACAAGTCAACGAGAGCCAAAATAGGATGTTGAGCATATCCCACAAAGACCTCAAGAAGAGATTTGATATATTAGATACTAATGACCGAAAAGTAGAAAAGATGTGAGATGACATCAAGAATATCATACAAGTGGAGTAGTTAATCTTATATTCCAGAAACAAAGGACCCTAGGGCCATCAAGGGAGAAGAGCACAAGCAGAATGCGATACCTTATGCAGAGAAGCAGCAACACCAGAGATGGAGACAGAGATGGGGACATGGAGAGAGGGAGCAGCTGAGGAGTCTAGATTCATAGAAAGAGAGGGACTAAGAGCTGGTGGCCAGGAGGCAGACTTGCAGAATGTGCCTTAAGTTATTATATATGCCTGAGTGTTTAATAAAAAGAGCTAAAATGAATAGAGAGAAATACTGTTAACTTACGGTACATGGAAAGTTTCATTGTAATGAAACGTGTATTATTTGCTGAATGTAAAACTGATGATCTGCCCTGTAAACTTTCACTCAACTCACAATAAAAACTTAAAAAACAAAACAAAAGAATATCATACAGGAAGAAAGCAAAAGATCAGAACAGTCAATAGCCAATATATATTAGAAAGAATGGGAATCTTTCAAAATGGTTGAGCCATGTTACTTTCCTACTAGCTTTACTTGTGAGTTCAATTTGCTCCCATCTCCCCAATAAGGATTTAAAATACTTACCGATGAAGATCAAAGAGCACAGCCTTTGGTATGGGTTGCACCTCAATGTAAAGAAAACAAAAATCCTCACCACTGGACCAATAAACACCATCCATATAAATGGAGAAAAGATTGGAGTTGTCAAAGACTTCATTTTGCTCAGGTCAACCATCAACATTCACGGAAGCACAGTCAAGAAATCAAATGATGTATTGCATTAGGCAAATCTGCTGCACAAGACCTCTTTAAGAGCAAAGATGACAGTTTGAGGACTAAGGTGCACCTGACCCAAGCCATGGTATTTTTAATAACCTCATATGCATGTGAAAGTTGGACCGTGAATAAGGAAGACTAGAAGAATTGATGCATTTGACTTATGGTATTGGTGAAGAATATTAAAAATACGATGGACTGCCAAAAGAACAGACCAATCTGTGTTGGAAGAAGTACAGCCAGAATGCTCCTTGGAAGTCATGATGGCCAGACTTCATCTCTCATACTTCAGAAATATTGTCAGGAGGGACCAGTCACTGGAGAAGTATATCATGTTTGGAAAAGTGGATAGTCGGAGAAAGAGAGGAAGACCCCAATGAGATGGATTGGTACAGGGGCAGCAGTAATGGGCTCAGGTGTAGCAATGATTGTGAGATTAGCCCAGAACCAGGCGCTGTTTTATTTTTTTGTGTATAGGGTCACTAAGAGTTGGTAACAACTCAATGGCACATAACAACAACAACAACATATGATTTTCATTGAGTATGGAACATGCTTTTTTCTCCCCATAATAATTTCAGGAGCAGACATGATAAGCATACATAATGAAGAAGAAAATGATTTTATACTGAATACTTTGGAAAAGCAATGGAAAGGTCCAGATAATATCCTTCTAGGAATGTTTTATGACACAGATGGTAAGTGACATTTATCTTGTGGGGTATCTATTGTGGGGTTTGTTCCTTAATATTAGGAAAACTGAATGGCTTTTTCTTTTTCTAAAGATTCTAGTTCTCTAGTGTAAGCTGACATTTTCCATGGCCTCCAGGTATATATGTGCAGTAGGCAGCTGTGAGACTTGAACCACAGCTCTTCCCTGAGTAACTCACTGTGTTCCACATATGAAAGCCAACACTGATTCCCTTCTGAATTAAAATGTTGTTCTATTTTGTAATATGGCATGGTTATAAAAGTGAGCATCGAGTTCGAGCTGCGGTTCCGTGGGTCTCTGTCTTGCTTCAAAAGTGTTTGGACAGAACAGATCCGGGGACTCCCCCACCTCCTGCCTCGGACCACCTCTAACAACTTCTTTGGGCACAATCT